GTTATTTTAAAAGCATCTCCCCCCTTAGGCTGAGGGTTGCTGATCAAGGAGCACAAACCCTCCCCACAACCCCCGGGTGGGCAAAAGCAGCCCCACAACCAACCGACCAGCACCCCATGGCAGCTCATCCCCCCCATTCCTCAGCACCCAGCAGCCCCCCCAGGAGGAGCAGCTGCCTTTCTTTCCCCCCCCCTCATCAAGGAGCTGAGGGTTTTCTCCACCAGGACAGCTCTGCCCCCAGCACAGCCTCCCCCAATGGGCAGGGAGAGCGCTGGCCCCACAGACTCCCCTTCATTTATCCCCTGATTGCTTTATTTTATACGCCTTGACCCACTGAGTGGCTTTTAAATTTTTTATATGGAGGAAAGCCACTTTTTTTTTTTTTGGCAAGCCCCTCCCGGCAAGACACACACACACACACTTATTTCCAGTAACTGCTCGGGCGGTCCCTGCCTTTCCCCGCGATGCTTTCAGGACACACAACCCCCCACCCCCAGTCCCAGAGAAGCTGGACTGGGTCACACAAAGCATCCTTTGCCCCATCCCTGGAGGGGTTCAAGGCCAGGCTGGATGGGGCTTGGAGCAACCTGGTCTGGTGGGAGGTGTCCCTGCCCAGGGCAGGAGGTTGGAACTGGATGGTCTTGAAGGTCCCTTCCAACCCAAACCATTCTTAAGATTCTATGATCCTCAGTAGGGGACTGGGAGATGGGCACCACTGTGCTGTCACCTTAGGAAGTGACAATAGGAAAGGGCATCCTTTAGTGGGGCCAGACCTCTGGCCAAGGATAGGGCACCCAAGGAACGGGCTGTAGACACCAGCGTTCCTGATACAGGCATTTTTAGCTGGGGGGGGCAGGATTAGGGGAGTGGGAGGGGGATATAGGGCAAATGAGACACTTCTCCTTTCATTAGGTGCCTTCAGTGGGGGGAGATCTGAGCCAGGCAGAGGTGTATTGGCTCTAGGTGGCATCTAAGGAAGGTTTCTAATCCATCCACCTGCTTTCCCTCTGGGACCAGCAATGCCAAGAGAAGCCCCACACGCCTGGATGTGCATTGTAGAGGCTTGCGGAGAGATGGAGATGTTTGCCAGACACTGTCCTCCCCCCGTCCCGTCCTGTCCCCCCCCCTCCATCCTCCAGACATCCTGCCTTTCTCACCACCATGAGAAACCCCTTGTTACACTCAGGGTTTTGGGAAAAAAAAAAAGTGTAAGTGCACTTTAGGTCGGAGCGAAGTGACTGGGTAACGCTGCCGAGTTCGAGGAGAGGACAAACGCCAAAGGAAAGCCTTATTTAAAGCACTTTATCGTAGGGCCCATCATCTCCCTCCTCCACCCTGCTCTGTCGCTGCCAACACCCCGCAGGATGAACGCGAGAGACACGGGGCTTTTAGCCATTCCCCCTCCCCTCCTCGGAGATAACCCGCCTTTTACAGGCTTGCCCTCTGGTTATATATGTATTTTATTATATTTTTTTTTCCTCTTCTGCTTTCTGCTATAATATATTCTGAAACTTTAGGAAGAAAATTAAATAAGCCTGCCTCACCCCAGCCCCTCCCTCCCCCCCATCCCCCGGGTTGTTAGCTCCATGCTATGAGGCTGGGGGGGGTGCTCTCCCCCCCCCCCCTTGCCACCCCCTCCCGGTCCTCAGGTGCAGCACGAAACACCCTCACCTGCTGCAAAGATAAAGGAGAAACCTGGTTTTCTTGGGCTCCTCTTCGCTTGGGTGTGTTGGTTAAATTTATTCACCAAAATGAGAGATAAATCAGATGGTGGGTTTACAGAATCACAGAATCACAGAATCACAGAATCGTAGTGGTTGGAAGGGACCTCAGAGATCATCGAGTCCAACCACAAAGAAAAAACCAAAACAAAAAAAAACAAAACAAAAAAAAAACAAACAAAAACCACCACCCACCACCACCAAACCAAAAACCATCACCCACCCACACAGCACCCCACCACAAACCAGTAATCTTGGGCACTAGAGCATGCCCTGAAGAAGCATGTCTACACGTTTCTTAAATACCTCCAGGGATGGTGACTCCACCACCTCCCTGGGCAGCCCATTCCAATGCTGGATAACCCTTTCAGTAAAGAAATGTTTCCTAATATCCAACCTGAACTTCCCCTGGTGCAACTTGAAGCCATTACCCCTTGTCCCATCATCTGTAACTTGGGAGAAGAGACCGACCCCCGTCTCTCTACACCCTCCTTTCAGGGAGTTGGAGAGAGCGAGAAGGTCTCCCCTCAGCCTCCTCTTCCCCAGACTGAACACCCCCAGCTCCCTCAGCCTCTCCTCACGAGACTTGTGCTCCAGACCCCTCACCAGCTTCGTTGCCCTTCTCTGGAACCGCTCCAGCCCCTCAATGTCGGGAGCGCACCCGATAAGGGGTGTTATTCCAGGGTCGTTTTCCCTCCTCAGCACGAAAGGATCAAAGAGCCTGGACTAGAGGACAAAAGAGGGGATGATGTAATGCCCCGGCCCCATCAAAGACTTGATGCTGAAAATGATATCTCGGCCAGGGTGGCAGAAATTCAGAGGTTTGATGGATGCGGGGAGGGGGGGAGTCAGTTCTGCTCGCTTTCCTTGGGTGTAAACCCGAATCGACCCCCGAGGCTCACTCCTGATTCACTCCCTTCCACTTCCCATTTCCTACACTAAGCAAGACGTGGGCAAAGACAACAATTTGGCTATTCCTGCCCCAAAATCCTTCCATTAAACGAGACGAAGTCTCCATTATGCCTCGCCTTTAATCCGCCGAGGTAGAGGCAGGCGCGAAAGGTGAGAGTGGCCATTGTGGCTTTTAAGACTGGGTACCATTTTCTTTGTTTAAAGAAATTCAGCACTTTTCTCCCATTAATCTTCAGCGGGGAAAGCGGTTCAGCCCGCACCTGTATAAACAAGCCAGATGGAGGGGGAAAAAGTAAACCTATATCTCTTCCCCTGCAGTATCTTTATATATATATATATATATATATTTATATGGATAACGTAGGCTAATTGGGGAGGGAGAGCAACTCCAAAGTCCATCAGCTTTCACCGCCCGGCGTGTGGGACCCAGGCAGGGCACGGCGGTGTCAAACCAAGTTCAGGAGATCCAGTTGCAAGATCAGCTGCCTGGCTTTGGTGGTTGAAGAAACATCAAGTTTCACTCGGAAGGGTTGCCGTTCAACCCGGCTCTTGATGTGGTTCTAGCCCCAGCGGGCAAACCCGAGGTTTATACTTAAGTATATATATATATATAATATATATTAAGCCTTAAGTGGCCCTCGGTGAGACCACAGGGTTGGCAGGGAGCGAAGAAGAGCAAGGCTCTGGGCGAGAAGGTGGCCTGGCTCTGCCAGGAAAGTTGTGCAGTAGCAGCAGGGGAAGGTTCCACTCGGGCAGGAGGGATGTGGAAGAGGAAAAAAAATAAAAGAAAAAAAAAAAAAAAAAAGAAGGAGGAGTTGATTGCACTTTGGCAAAGAATTCAGAGAGCAAAGGGGCTCACTTGGGAGCAAAACGAAGATGAATCAACAGCAAGTTCAAGAGAATTCATTCTGCTGCTGAACACTTGTCTCTCCATCAGGACATCTCAAAGGCTTGTCAAGCGAAGGCAAGGATTTTATTTGTTTCTATGGTTGCCATAACGATAGAGCTATATGTCATGTCAGGCGGCAGCTGAGGCTCGTGCCTCTGATTTATCGCTGCTCACCAGAAATTATCAACTTTTCTTCAGGGCAGG